TGCAATGCACGGAATTGATTTGTTGTAATATATTAAGAATATTTGGATCGATATATAATTATTTAAGTTAGAACATCAAATATTATATAGTGCAATTGAATGTATGGTTTAGATCGTTTATGTGTTTTTATGTTATTAATTGCTAAAACTAATAGCTAATATGTAGATGTATGCATGCGGTGCTGTAACTTTGGAGATTTTATTTATCATTGTTCAGTATTTTTATAAATTAGTCAAATGTGCTCGTTCTCTAGCAACTCAGTTATAAAAATAAATTGATATCCTAATTTATTTTTATGGAAAATATATTTTTTGTCTAGATATATAGCAATTTTGCTATTTAAAAAAACATAATGGCCCTGTTTGGTAAAATGACTGTTAGCTGTTAGCTGATTGTGTTAATTAGAGGGTATAAATAGTTGATAACATTAGCTGAAGGTAGAAAAGTGATTGGTAAATTAGCTGTTTGGTATAATTTCTTTTTTCAAAAAACTAATTAAAAAAGTTGCTTGGAGTAGCTTTTTAAGTTTTAGCCTTTTAGAGTTGCATAAATCTAATTAACCAAACATCTATATTGACATTTTAACCAAATCAAACAATTAATAGTGGTCAGATAAGCCAAAATTGGCATATAGGCCAATTTTTTTACCAAACAGGGCCAATATCACAGATTGTATTTACACGCTACTGAAACCTCTTTGTAGACAACATTGGTAGTAACAACACAATCTTGTCTATCTTCGTCTAGAGCTAACACCTTTTGTCCATCTTCACATATGGGTGACTCGGGTGAAAATATATAATGGTAGAATTTCAGTCAATTAGTGATCCTATTATATTTTCAGTCAATTAGTAATATCAGATTCATTTTCAGCCAATTATTCTTTTTATTTTTAGTCAATTAGTCAATTAGAATATTAGATGCATTGATATTTTTACCTAATTTCTGTTCCATTTTTAATTGATGATGTAGACTATTTTTATTGAAATATTTTCGTTCTATTTTAAATTTACCTTTACTATTGTTTAAAATATGCATTTACTATTGATGATGTAGAATATTATTATTGAAATAATTCTGACCAATTTTTAATTTCCATTCCATTTTTTAATTAAAATGCAATGATCTGTCAATTTATTTTTACATTTCTATTATGGATCATTTTTTATTTGCAGTCAATTATTAATATTCATTTCCTTTTATAATTTCAGTCAATTAGTAATATCAGATTCATTTTCAAACAATTATTCTTTTTTATTTTCAGTCAATTAGAATATCATATGCAGTGATTTTTTTACCTATCCGAACCATTTTTAAATGATGATGTAGAATATTTCTAATGAAATATTTCCGTTCCATTTTTAGGTTACCTTTACTATTGTTTAAAATATGTCTTTATTATTGACGGTGTAGAATATTATTATTGAAATATTTTCTTTCCATTTTTTATTTACTTTTACTTTATGATGTAGAATATTATTATTGAAATATTTCCGTTCCATTTTTAATTTATGTTCTATTGTTTAAAATTATAAAAGATTTATGATATAATTGTGATTTGATTTATTCTACTATGTAATATTATTGTGAAAAATTAAAATGCAATATTCTGACAATTTTCTTTTCCATTTAGTCTATTATGGATCATCTTTTATTTCCAGTCAATTATTAATATTCTTTTCCTTTTCCAATTAACCTAATTTTTGTTTCTTTTTTCATTTTTAATTTTCAGTTAATTATTAATATTTATGTATTTTTTAATTTACCTAATTTTTGTTCAATTTTTAATTGATGATGATGTACAGAATTATTGTGAAATATTTATGTTTCTTTTTTAATTTACCTTTACTATTTATTATTGTTTGGGCGGGAAATCAAGTAAATAGAATATTATTTTTAATAATAGTATAGATTTTTAATGAATTAAGGATCTTTTTATTTTCCTATTTTACTGCTAACTTTTTTAGTAATTATTATTAGTATTAATTAATCAGTGAATTCCGTTTCCTTTTCTATTTTTTGTGAATTAAATTTTTTTTTTATTTTTTTAATTTTTGGTAGGATTTTTTTGGACTGTTATCCTGGCCTTTTTTTCCCCATAATCTTCCGTTTTTTATTTTCATTTTCATCGAATTAAGACTCCTTTTTTATTTTCCTATTTTACTGATTATTATTATTAGTAATAATCAGTAAATTCCATTTATATTTTCATTTTTTTAGTGAATTAAAGATTTTTTTTTATTTTTTTATTTTACTACAAACTTTTTTTTTTTTTTTACTGATTATTGTTAGTATTAATTAATCAGTGAATTTCGATTTCTTTTATATTTTTCGCGAATTAAGAATCTTTTTTTTTGTTTTTCTATTTTATTATAAACATTTTTACTAATTAATTGGTAATTTTTATCCCTTTTTTATTGTTTGAGCGAGAAAGTAAGAAATGAGGATTTTGTTTGTAATAACAGTATAGATTTATATTGATAGATTTATACTTTAAAAATTACATTTAGAAATTAAAAAAGTAGCATTTAAATTTTATAGGATTAGTATAGTGCATAAGTGTTTGTATGCATGTATTTAATTTTTTTTTTTTATAAATGTTTATATTTTGTTAATTTTATAATTTCATTTCCTTAATTATATTTCATATTTTATTAGTTATAATTTAATGTGTCACAAATATTTTCACGGAAAAAATCTTATATTTCTCAATTTCATTAATTATATTAATTATAATTACCAAACATTGTGGCAATTATCATAATAATTTCATTAATTATAATACTTGTTCTCTTTCAATATTTAAATACATTACCATAGTAATTATACGAAAGAAGGAAAGAAAAATTATTAGAATAATTACTATTAATAAAAATTAGGAAATTATATTAAAAATTAATTATATATTAAGGTAATAATAATTTATTTTGTGCCAATAATATTATATATTAAGTATAAAGTGTATATATATATATATATATATATATATATATATATATATATATATATATATATATATATATATATATAGGCGAGTATAATTTATTTTGTACTAGTAATATTATACATTAAGTGTATACACACACACATATTACGTGTATATTATATTAATTAATTATAATATTTGTAAATTTTGTACTAATAATATTATACATTATTTTGTACTAATAATATTATACATTATTTGTTAGTTCAGATCTGTGACTAAGTCCTCATCTCTATCCTTAACTTCTGTGTTTTTGGTGTTGAAACAAGGATTCTGTTTTGTTTTTCGTATATATCTTGTAATTATCTCAAGAAGAGTTTGATTTCTGATAAGGAAAACGCCGGGCCTTCCTTGTTGCCGGAAAGTTAAGAAATCAACTTTGTAGTCAATGTTACCCGGGTCTTCATCAACGCTCAATCCATTGGGTCCAGCGGCACTAAAAACACTTCAAGCTACAATTGCAAAATAATAATAATAATAATAATAATAATAATAATAATAATAATAATAATAATAATAATAATAATAATAATAACAATCTTGAAAACTGTAAAAAAAAAAAAAAAAAAAACTTACGTTTTCATGAGTGCAACACCAAGATATGATTCCACAGAGAGAACAGGAAGAAAAGAGAAACCGTGCAAAATGAAAAATTATGATTTCCATACTCACCAATCCATTGTATTTATAGGTAGAAAATATAATAATTATAAATTTGTATAATTTTTCAAAAAGGAAAGGTGTAATTATGTAATATTACCAATTAATAAATTTTAATTAATTTTCATTTTACATTTGGTTACCAAATAAGTTTTACTACAAAAGTTTGAGCGGGAAAATGAAATAAGAGGATTATATATCTAAAAACATAATAAGCTTCAATCCAAGTTATACCCCTGGTTTATGTCCGTTTTTTCCGTTAATTTTTTTTGTACCTTGTGCTATAAAAGTTGTACTACATAATTTTTTGGACAAAAATATCCCTGCCGTTATAACTTCTGTTATCTTTCCATATTATTATTACCATGTACATGCATACATAATAATTTTTCTTACATCCTTCAATGGTAAGTTTAAATTCATTTAGGTTTTAATTAAAATGTTACCATAGTTATATTTAGTAATTTATCATTTCTATAATTCATACCTCAATAATATTAATATGAATTATACAATTATATATATCTAAAAACATAATAAGTGTGAATGAAAGTTATGTCCCTAATTTATGTCCGTTTTTTCTGTTAAATTTTTTTTGTACATTATGCTATAAAGGTTGTACATTACAATATTTTGGACAAACATACCCCTACCGTTATAACTCCCGTTATCTTTTCCACTATTGTTACCTTGCACATGCATCCACCATATATTTTCTTATCTTCTTCATTAATAATAATATATACACATTAAATATTTGAGTTATATGTTAATTATTTCATAAATATAAATATCAAATTTATAAAAAAAAAAAGGTTTACATTATTATTATTATTATTATTATTATTATTATTATTATTATTATTATTATTATTATTATTATTATTATTATTATTTAGAATAATTTAAATATCTAAAATCTAAATAAATTCAAAATTTTAATATAATGTATTAATATTGGGCATATTTTTACGCATCGCGCATAAAGATACTAGTATATATATATATATATATATATATATATATATATATATATATATATATATATATATATATATATATATATATATATATATATACTAGTATTTTATATGCGCGATGCGTAAAAATATGCCCAATATTAAAATTAAATATTAGTTATATTAATTTTTTAAAAATAATAGTGTGTGTGTGTGTCTATATATATATATATATATATATATATATATATATATATATATATATATATATATATATATATATATATTTATTTATTTATTTATTTATTTACCAAGTATTGTATACAAATATAATAAATGTTACGAGTAATATGGAGGTTTGGGCTTTAAGGACTTACGTGCGTTTAATCTGGCAATGCTGGGAAAACAGGCATGGCGGATGTTGACTAAACCTGATTCTTTAGTGGCTCGTGTGTATAAGGCCCGATATTTCCCTAAGGGGTCTTTTTTTGATGCACAGGTAGGAAATAACCCCAGCTTCTGCTGGCGAAGTATTATGGCAGCAAAGAGTATAGTTTGTAGTGGGGTAAGGCGCAGAATTGGTAACGGAGAGTCTACACTCATATGGGCTCACCCCTGGTTACAAGATGAACATGACCCTATGATACAAACAGAAATGCCAGCACAACTACAGGAAGCCAGAGTGGCAGGTTTGATTGATCAACAAACTGGCACATGGGATCCCTCAATTTTAACAGATTTATTCCAACCTAATGATGTGGAGAATATTATGAGAATACCTGTATCCCCGGATTATGATGACACTTGGTACTGGCATGGAGACCCAAGGGGAATATATTCTGTTAAAGATGGATACAGGCGAATTGTTGGAAATTATCAGGAGGATAATGGGACATTTGCCAAATGGTTGAAACTTTGGAAGCTCAAAATCCCCCCAAAGTGGAAAATGCTACTCTGGAGAGCCATTAGTGATATTTTGCCTACCACAACCAACTTACTTATAAGGAGAGTGGATGTGGATCCACATTGTGCTATGTGTGGAATGTTTCAAGAACACACAATGCATGCCCTAGTGTTGTGTGAGTTTGCAAGGAACATTTGGGAACAATCCAACCTTACAATCCCTAGCATTGACACAAATATTTTTCATGTTTGGTTTGGTGAGCTTTTAAATGTTCTAGACTCTGATGGAATATTATATGCAGCAGCAATTATTTACAATATATGGAGAGCAAGGAATATGGCGGTTTGGGAAGCAAAGTTACCACGACCAATCACCATACTCAGGATTGCTGCTGCGGCCAAGGAGTCGTGGACCCGGGTGCACCCAACACCCGTAGCCCGTGCCGCCCCACTGTCGACCGAGCCACAATTGGCGCTGGAAGCTGCCGAACTGAACCAAGGCCATCCTCACACCGCCGAGCCGCAGTTGCCCAAGAAGATTTGTTATGTCGACGCGGGACTTTTGCCAGAGACAGGCCAAGCTGCGGGTGGAGCTGTTCTAGTGGACACAGGAGGAGCTTATGTTTCGGCTCACGCCGGACCACTCCGGAATTGTACCTCGCCGCTTATGGCCGAGGCATTGGCATGCAAGGAGGCTCTATCATGGTTGAAGGATCGGGGAGAACAAAATGTCGAGATATACACGGATTGTCTAACGCTACATCGCTATCTTACCACACCAACGGTTGCGTTACGTACGTACCTAGGCTATGCCATTGACAGCTGCAGGCTGACTGCATCTTTATTTCAGTCTTGTTCGTTTCGTTTAATTTCTAGATTAGATAACTATTTAGCTCATGCTTTAGCTACTACGGCTTATCAGCAACCTGCTGCTATGTACTGGGATTTACACCCACCAGATATTATTTCGGCCTATTTCTAATATAGCACCATATATTTCAAAAAACTTACAACACACATCTCACATTATAACTATCACTTCAAATATCAACAGGTGCTTGTAAATATAAAAAATGAAATATATTGCTAAAAATGCTCACTCTTGGATCGGACAAGCCATATTTAGCAGTCTGGAATACACACGTAGTAGGGACATTTGATCATTACATATTTACATAATTAGAAAAATATTATGTGTACTTTTATTATCTATTCTCAATTTTTATTTTTATACACAAAACTTTGATGCAGATATTTACATTGAAACTCACATAAAAAAGTAATTTATTAATGTCCATCACATTAACGAGTAAAATTTAGAAGCGCATATAGGCCCTGTTTAGTAAATGGTTGATAGCTGTTAGGTGATTGAGTTAATTAAAGAGTATAACTAGTTGAGATTGTAGAAATGTGTTTGGTAAATTAGCTCTTAGTTGATAGCTGTTTGATATAATTTCTTTTCTCAAAAAATTGTTTTGAACAACTTTTTAAATTTTAGCATTTTGAAATTTCAATTAAAAAAGTAGCGTTCTTGTATGCTTTTTCTGTCCTTGTACTGTTCAATCACCTTAATGGTTTATAGTAATTTTAAATAGGAAAATATTAAATTCTCAATATTATCATGAATCATTAACGTGTGACTTTCTAGGTTCATAGTTAAACTAGTAACGAGTAATATTTAATAACTCGTAAGTCATGAATGACACATAATAGTATGCCGTGACTATCTAGTTGGCAATGAAATATATGTATATATTATACTGAATCTTTCCGTTACAAATATCATGTAACATTCCTCTCACATAATACTTATTCCGAACCAGGCAAAGGTCTTGACCAAACTTGGTCAAACCCATAAATCAGATTTAATTTGTCTATTCAAAATTCTTTTTATGAAGTCTAACTTCATTATACTCTGGCTAGAGATTCTCGTTGTAAGATTATTGAATAGACTAGAACAACCTTGTTACCTCAAGACGGTGGATCTTTTACTGAACGCACACATGTCTCCGTACAATACTGAACTAAGCCACCAAGTACACTTATAGTTCTATAAGGATCAAAAGATGCATACTGGCAAAAACTAATTAATACACCATATGTACGAGATAACTATGTCGTCTTAAGTCAAAGGATTATTACATACTTATAACAAAACATACCGATAACACGTAGGTAAACACCATGCGGTACGTTACGTTGTAAGTAGTCATTGTTCAATGACTTGTTTTCTAACAATCATCCACATGTTCTCTCGCCGCATCTCATATGAAATGGCATAACACTCACCATAAGAAGGACAATGTGCTAATCTTATCAGTATTGTAATGCTAAATTAGAATTCCTATGACTAAGAATATTTATACAATAATTCGTTAATAAATTCTTCGTCACTCATATTCTTAACTCTTAAGAATTAAGAATTGAGAAAATTGTACGAAATAATGTCAAATATTAATTAAGCTAAAATAAAGTAAATAAAGACATTTATTATTTAATGAGGAATCCATGCCCAAAACAATAAAGATTGACTCCTTAGCCATATATGTCTAACAACAGTATCTTATCACATACATATATATTATGAACTTTAGATTTATATATAACACACATTTTGATGGATACATACATGAATAAAAGTACTAATTTATTTTTGCTCAACCATATAAATTTGAAGCTAGGCGCGGTACAAGGAGGGCTGGGAGTGGAGTGGCCTTCTGATTAGTTAATCCAACACTTTCAGTCAAATCGATTGGTTCATTTGATAACCTTTTCATATCAAAACTATGAATTTGGCTAGCCAGTGTTAATTGAACAATTTGTAAGCCAAAAGATACGCCAGGGCACATTCTTCGACCACTGCTAAATGGAATCAACTGAAAATGATTACCCCTAACATCAACGTCTTTGTGATCAGTTAAAAATCTCTCAGGTATAAATTCATTTGGATTTGCCCAAATCATTGGATCACGATGGATCTTCATTAAGTTTGGCACTATTCGGGTGCCCTTTTTAATGTGGTAGCCATCAATGGTGCAATCTTCTATGGCTTCATGAGGTAATGCAAGCGGGGCTGGCGGATATAATCGCAACGTTTCTTTAATCACAGCTTGTAGGTATATCAATTGCTTTAGGTCACATTCATCAACACATCTTTCTTTTCCAATATGGGTGTCTAACTCATCTTGGATCCTTTCCATCACTTTGTAGTTGTTTAGTACTAATGAAAGAGCCCATGCCAATGTTATGCTAGTTGTGTCGGTGGCAGCTAACAAAATGGTCTGCAAAAAAAAAGAGAAGAGAGATTATTCATATTTCTCAATTTTAATGTTTATTATTTAAAGAAATGTAGTGTAAATCACTGCTGAAAATTATGAAATTTCCGATCACTTGAAAATGATCTTAAATCAAGTCGAAAGCCTTGTTCCAACCACTTTTGGTATCCGGAAAAACCTTTATAGCTATTTCCGATCACTTTTTGCTTTCGACTTCACTTTCAGGTGGTCGGAAATTCCATAATTTCCAGTAGTGAATGTCTTCTAACGTATAGTATAACTTTCTTTATTTGTTGCAGCTCTAATAGTTAATACCCCATCAACGGGGTTCGATATGTGACCTTCCCTCAAGGAAAGTTACAGAAATATCATCTAAGCACAATGTGTTTGGCCATAATGTATGGTTTATTCATTAATACTAAATTATATAACAATTAGGTAAGTCACTTCACTTTAACGGATTAAACTCATAAAATCATATAGAATGAATATTATTTATAATTTTTAGTCTTGCATGCGACCAGATATCTCAAAAGCTAATTGAAACCTGAAAACTGAAAAGCTAGTAGTTAATGAGCTAAATAATTGAAATAAAAATATTTTGTAAATTAATTGTTGAATTAGTGATGAGTGTAAAAAGACAAAAAAAAAAAAAAAAAAGATAAATTAAGATATTAAGATTTTGATTAATGAAGGATAGATGGTGCCATTTTTGTAAATTAATAAAGATAAAAAAGACAAAAAAAAAAAAAAAAAAAAAAAAGAACAAACAAACAAAAAGCTAGCTTATGTTGAAACGCGAGTACCATTTCAAAGTAAATTATTATTTTAAGCTCCCTATATTTTATCAAATAGAATTTATAGCTTTTTTTTTTTTTTTTTTTGAAAAGGAATTTATAGCTTATTTGTAACACAAATCACAATATTTTTTATGAGTCAACAACTATTATATTTTTCACCAAAAAAATGTTTTTTTTTTTTAAAAAGAAGTATTTAGTATTTTAGTCTCAATATATTTATGAGTATTTTGACTAGTAATAAATAGGCAATACGACAAATAATAAAATTGGACTAAAAAAGTACAAAAAAAAGTGAAAAAGGCCGGTCTATACATACCAGACAAGTAGATTTGATAACACAATCCGTATCATATCCATGTGGAAGACTTTGATTGGGTACACCATCAAATAGTGATAACATGGTGTCCATGAAGTCGTCTTCTTCCTTAGACTTAAAATTCCTTTTTCTTCTATGCTCCTCCATCCACTTCTTCACGAAGTTGTCCATTTCCATGGCGGTCTGCCACATAGCCTTCTCGTATCCCCCAATGTCCAACCATCTCAGCCACGGGATAAAATCCGCCACCACCGCCTCTCCGAACAGCTGGAACAGCCTGTGGATGGACTTATCCAGCTTCCCTTCTTCCTCAACCTCGTCCTCTCCGAACAACATCGACACCAACATGTTGGTCACCAACCTATCGATAGGGGTGTTAGCGAACAGAACTTTCAGTAAACTACTGGTGTTCGTGTTAGTTTATGTTCGTTTATTAAAGTAAACCAACATAAATGAACAAATTTTAGAGTTGGATTTATATACAAACAGAGTCTGAACAGTTGTAGGCTCGTTTGTTAAGAGCTCGTGAATAAGCTCGTTTAGTGTTTATTCGTGAACGTTAACAAACACTAATAACGCTTAACAAATGAAGCATGAACAAGATTTTCAAAAACCTTAACAGAACACGAATACTCCAAAATTCTTAACAACCTTCCTTTATTTATATTCGGTTCGTTAACAGCCCTACCTGTCGAATGTTTGCTTCATCTCCACAGTCACGGCGCCGGTGGCCGCGTCCTTGTTGTCGGACCAATGTTCGAACATGCGTTTGATGGATTTTCTCACGTGGGATTCCCTCTTAGGTCTCAGAGAATCAATTCTCCGACCGGACAGCAACTCCAGCACGACGGTCTTTCGGATCTGGCGCCAGTAGGGGCCGTAAGGTGCGACGGCGAAGATGGTGTAGTTGTAGCCCATGATCTCGGAGGCGAGGGCTTTGGTGCGAGTGGCGAGTGACTTGTCGTTTGTTGTGAAGCATTCCTTGGCGATTTTTGAGTTGCTAACTACGAAGGTTTGTTGGGCGCCCAGTCTGATTCGGAAGATTGGGCCGTACTTGTCGGCCATGGCTGCCAGGATCAAGTGAGGAGGCTTCCCGCCGGCGATGAGAAGGTGGAGATGGCCGAGTATGGGTAGAGCACCGGAGGGCTCTGGTGCCACTTTTTGGTTACGCCCATTATTGGGTTTGTGCATAATTGCATGAAACAGCTTATTGCATAGAAAGAAGAGAAGCACTAAGGTGCATGCTAAAGTAGAAATAATTGTAATAATATTATTGCATGGTGGAGAGAGGAAATCCATGGTTTGGGTTGCACAAAATATCAACAAGAGTCTCTTGTTTTATAAGCAAAGGAAATGTATGTTGATGGAAATGTCAACCGTACCCCCGCATTATTATATGAGTTCTACTACATGTACTCTCAAACTCTACTTCATCACTTTTACTCCATGATGTGAAAAACAATGATTAGATATTTTCGAGTTACAAAAAAAGTGTCTACATCAAGGATTTGTGAGAGAGAGTAAAAGTTGAAAATAAGAAATGAGAATATGTAGTATTCTTCATTATTATATACCGAGTATTTTTAAAAAGGATTTATAAAAAAAAAAAAAAAAAAAAAGAAGAAGAAATTTTAATCTACATGGATTAAGGCTCTGTTTGACAGAGCTTATTTAGGAGCTTATAACTTATTTTAAGCTACTAATGGGCTATATAGCTCTGTTTGGTAATGTTCCCAAAATAAGCTCTTAGCTTAAAATAAGAACTTATTTCAGAACGTGTTTCAAAATAAGCTCCTAACTTCTTAACTTTTTTTTTTTCCATCTTTACCCTTATTATTTTAAAGAAATGACATAATTTAACCTTCCCAATTAAAACCATTTTCTCTTCTCCTTTATCCGCAACCTTCACCGTAATTGTTATTATTATTATTATTATTATTATTATTATTATTATTATTATTATGAAATTTGCAACAATATTGCTACTTCATTATGAGATGCTAGATCATGATTATGCTAATAGTTTTATTTCAAAATGTTAATTTTTTTAAAGATAAAATGTTAAATTTTAATATGTAAACAAACTAATTTAAATTTTATGAACATGTCCTTTTTAGTCTTTTTACATTTATCAGCTTATCAAAAAGCTAATTTTACCAAACACTTTCAATCATAACAGCTAGCTTAACAACTCTTCAGCTTTCAGCTCCGAGCTTATAGCTTTTCAGCTTTTAGCTCCTAGCTTATAGCTTTTCAATTAGGTTTGCCAAACAGAGCCTAATATGAAAAATAGGACTCTTATTTAAATTTTTACTTCCAACTTTTACTCCCTCTCACCCATCTTTGATGTAGACATTTTTCTTGAGACCCACATGATGAAAATATATAATCTTTGCTTATCACATTATGAAATAAAAGTGAGGGAGTAGAATTTGGAAGTACATATAGTAAAATTCATATTATATAAGGAGTATTTTTTTTAAAAGGACAAAAAATGCAATTTTAATCTATTAATTATTCATCACTAATCATTTTAGTCCCCATGGCCAGCATTTTGTCATTGTATAATATATCCTCTAAGTTTTCAAATAAGTCATACTTTTAGTCTCAAAGTAACAAAACTTTTAGGCCCTGTTTGGTAAAATGGCTGTTAGCTGATAGATGTTAGCTGTTAGCTGATTGTGTTAATTAGAGGGTATAAATAGTTAATAACATTAGCTGATTTTAGAAAAGTGTTTGGTAAATTAGCTGTTTGCTGATAGCTGTTTGGTATAATTTCTTTTCTCAAAAAGTTAATTGAAAAAGTTGCTTGGAGTACCTTTTTGAATTTTAGCCTTTTGGAGTTGCAAAAAGCTAATTAACCAGACATCTATATTAATATTTTAACTAAATCAAACAATTAACAATTAATAATGGTCAAATAAGTCAAAAATTGGCCTATAGGCCAATTTTTTACCAAACAAGGCCTTAAATTCAGTTAGGATTTTACTTTGACAGATAATTGGACAAGGTACTAGACACGATTCGAAACACTAACATAGAGAAGTCAAAACAATTAACACAGTTAAATATTAACGATCAAGTAAAGACCATGTAGAATGGTGCACTTAATGTAGAGCCTAATGCAGTTATTATATTAGAGTACCGCCTCATCAAAGAGCAAGAGTTATGGAGGGTCATCGCACTTCTGAAGAAGAGAGCATCAATTACTGAGCAGCCATAACACCTACTGAAAGGAGATGTTCTACTTATTGAGAAGAATCGTTGTGCCCATTATTGTAATTAACCATTATACTTAATGATCGATCAGGATATAGTATAAAAGTTGAACCCTTGAAATAACAAGGGGATCACACTCTAAATCTTGTACTCAAATTAAAGACTCTTAACAATACTACATTACTTCTTTCTATAATCGTTATGGTAACTTTTATATAACCAACTTGGTGTTTTCATTGAGAGGCCTGATATTAATTCTCAAGCAAGCTAAAACACATAAAGTCCCATGTTTCTTCACTATATTATTGGGACTGGGAGCCTCTACAATGTTGATTCGGTATGGGGATGAATTCTAAAAATAATAGAATAATTATTTACTGTGTTATGATGTTTTTTTTTAATACTACTAGTATTTGCGCCCGTGCGTTGCACGGATTGGATTTGTTATAATATTTTAAAAATATTTAGATCGATATACAATTGTATAAATTATGACATCGAATATTATATAATATAATTGAAGAATTGAGTTGCACCGATTATGTTTTCTGATGTTATCAATGCTTGAATTCGAGTAAATAATTGCCTAATTAATAGCTAACGTGTAGATATAGGCATTCGGTGTTGCAACTTTAGAGATTTTATATATCAATGTTTAGAATTTATATTAATTGGACTAATTAGCTCGTTGTCTAGCAACTCAGTTATAGAAATTATTTATACGGAAGATATATATTTTTTCTATGTAGATATATAACAATTTTGTCATCTTTGTATACAAAAAAAAAAAAAAAAAAAAAAAAAAAAAAAAAAAAAAAAAAAAAAAAAACATAATACGGATGGTTTGAATTATATATTATTGAAAATCTCTTTGTAGACGACATTAGTAGTAGTAACGGAATTTTATCCATCCCCGTCTAGAGTTAAAACCATCAGACCATCAGGATGGTGTGACTCGGGAAAAAGTCACATACGATTAAAGATTGGTTTTTTCAGTAATAACTCAACATGAGTTAGTGTTTGACCCTGACTTTTGTTGATAGTCATGATATATGCGAGCATCAACGTTAATTGTTTTCGTTAGAACTTGAAGGGCAATCTCGTATCAGAAGGGTGAAAGACATTTTAATTAAAGATTTTACTTTTATTAATAATTTTGATATAAACTGGTGTAAATAATAATAATTAATAAATTATTATTTCTTTATAAAATTACATAGAATTTCAATTGGATTTTCTCATTTATTATGCAAAATTTATTTCCGTTATTCTCAAAATTATAATGGTTTAATTATTCTCAGAATTTGATAACCATTTTCCGTTTTTAAGTACATATTAACTTTAGTTAATTTTCATATAAAATTTTGTTACCAATTAAGCTTTATTGATTTTTTTTTACCAATTAATTAATATTCATATTAATTTGGACGAAAATGTGGAAGATGAGGATTTTACTTTTATTAATAGTATAAATTGGTGTAAATAATAATTAAGAAAATTATTATTTCTTTATAAAATTACGCAGAATTTCAAATAAATTTTCTCATTTGTTACGCAGAATTTGTATATATTATTTTCACAATTATAATAATTTAATTATTCTCATAATTTGGTAACAATTTTCCATTTTTATGTACATATTGACTTTAATATGTGGTAACAATTCATTAGATATTAGTTAATTTTCATATAAAATTTTGTTACCAATTAAGTTTTCTTAATATTTTACTAATTAATTAGTATTCGTATTAAATTGGGTTGAAATGTTGTAAAGGAGGATTTTAATTTTATTAAAGTCATTTCAATAAGGAAGTTAAAATTAATTAAAGTAAATCTAATCATTCTATATTTATTTGTAACTATATATTAATTTTATTTTGAAATCATTGATTCACATATATATTTGAATTATTTATTTATTTTTAATTATTCTCATTGTAAACACAAATGATATTGCAATAATTAATTAATGATATTTATCACATAATATTTTTTTAAATATAAAATTTTCTCATGTTTAGGGATTAAAGAATATTTTAAATTTATTTTTATTAGTAAATATTTTTAATTTTAAAAAATTTTCCAGCAACCCAAACACTCCCTTACTCTGTAAAACTGAAAAATAAAATTTATTTCATTATGAAAATTAAAACTAATTAAAAGATAACTATTACACATGTTATGATGGGGGTTAAAAAGTATTTATTTCACTTTGAATTATTTATTTATTTTCTTTAAGTATTATAAACAAAAATTATGATATTTATCAAATTATATTTTTTAAAAAATATAACATTTACACATATAATGAAGGGGTTAAAAAGTATTTTAAAATTATTTTTTATTAGTATGTAAACTGAAAAATAAAAATCATTTAATTAAGAAAATTAAAACTAATTAAAGTAAATCTAACCATGCTATATTTATTTGTAACTATATATTAATTTCATTTTGAAATCATTGGTTCACATCTTTGAATTATTTATTTATTTTCTTTAACTATTATAAACAGAAATTATGATATTTATAAAATTATATTTTAAAAAAATATAACATTTACACATGTTATGATGGGTTAAAAAATATTTTAAAATTATTTTGTATTTGTATGTATTTTTATTTTAAAATATTTTTCAACAATCCAAACACTCTCTTAGCCTCCCATAAAAAACTGATAAAGAAAAGTCATTTAATTAAGAAAATTAAAACTATTTAAAGTAAAATCTAATCATGTTATATTTATTTGTAACTGTATACTAATTTCATTTTCAAATCTTTAGTTCACATATTTGAATTTTTTTTAATTATTCTAATTTATAAATAGAAATGATATTGTACTAATTAATTTTTGATATTTATCAAATTTTATTTTTAAAAAATATAAGATTTACACATGTTATGAGGGGTTAAAAATATTTTAAAAATATTTTTTATTAGTAAATATTTAAAAAATAATAATTTCTAGCAATCCAAACACTCCCTTAGTCTCCCATAAAAATTTGATAAAGAAAAGTTATATCATTAAGGGAATTAAAAATAATTAAATTAGCCTTCAAAAAAAATTAAATTAAATATAATTATGCTATATTTATTTGTAACTGTATATTAATTTCATTTCGAAATTATTGGTTCACATATTTGAATTATTTATTTTATTTTTTTCTTTAATTATTATGAACATAAATGATATTTTACTAATTAATTTATGATATTTATAGAATTGTATTTTTTAAAATATAGTGTTTTACCCGTGCGTTGCACTTAAATTTTTTTGTTATTATGAATTTAAAATTAAAATAGAAAAAATAAAAAAATGGTATATTGTACAATATAATAATATAGTTGTTATTTTATATATTTGGTCAAGTATCTATTTTCATAACATACAAAATTAAAATTTAAATTTTGTATGGTTAATATAATCTCTAATCATGTATATATTTAGATACAAATGCTCTGTCGGGTCGGGGTGTGGGGGGCCCTTAGGGTTGGGGTTCAGCATTTTTGGAAGAATGTATATATTTAGATAAATTTATAGAATAAATTCACATAATTAAGTTGATTTATTCCAAATTGTATTTCATATATATTATCATTCTAAAAATATGAATAATAATAACTAAGAGAATTGTACTCAGAAATTAATAAAAAGATGTAAATTCTAAATTTTGTATGAATAAATATAAACTCTAATCGGACGCATATCCTTATATGATTGTATAATAAATAGTATATACACATAATATTTATTAATATGTATATAGGAAAATTATATAATATAATTTCATTAATTATAATTTATATTGATAAATTTATACTTAAAAATTTATATTTAGATTTTAAAAAGTGTATGTATGTATATTTAAAAAATTATAAATATTCATGTTTTGTTAATTTTATAATTTCATTTCTTTAATTATATTTCATATTTTATTAATTATAATTACATGTAATGAAATTGTCACAAATAATTCATTAATTATATTAATTATAATTATCAAATATTGTGACAATTACCAAGATAATTTTATTAATTATATTAGTTATAACATTTTTTCTCTTCTAATATTTAAATACATTACCATAAAATGACCATAAAAATTACACAAAAGAAGGGAAGAAAAATTATGATAATAATTACCTTTAATAAGAATTAGGAAATTATATTAAAAAAAATCTATATATTAAGGTAAGTATATTTATTTTGTGCCAATAATATTATACATTAAGTGTGTGTGTGTGTGTTTGTGTGTATTAATATATATATATATATATATATATATATATATATATATATATATATATATATATATATATATATATACTTTTAATTCTATATTGATAAGCATAGTCTATGTATATACTTTAAGAAAATATTTATTATTAAAAAGGAAATATAATTTTAAAAGTAAATTATTAATTAGATTACCTAATATTATTGTCCTACTAATTGATTCCATGCTACTATATATATAATTCATATATTTGAAAACTTTTTAAAGCTAAATACCTATTAATTATAATTTAATAATTAAGATAATTTTTAGTCAATCAATATTCAATAATACTAAAAGTATTATTTCGAATTTTAATAAATAAGATATAATAATATTATTAAACCAAAATAATTAAAAAAATGTGTACATGTTACTAAAAAATTTATAATAGTAATTTTTATTGCCTAATACAATTTGTTAATTATGATAATTATTGTATGATATTTAATACTAAAATTATTAGGTAGAATTTTTATAATTAAGGTATAATATTATTAAATCAAATTTAGTAATGACTACTCATGTTTATGTTTCCATGAACGGCTGCTATACCCATAATTTTTTATTTATTTATTTTTGGTTTGCTTATGTTGCGGTAAACAAATTTGTTTATGTTTCCAGGATTTGTGATATATCTTTTGTTTATTTGTTTTTTAATTATAATAATAGTTTCTATGTGTTCATTATCCACTATAATTCTTTTATATTTTGTTTAGGGCGTGGAGTACTTTGGGGCGTTGGGTGCGGTAATCCATCTATAATAATAATAATAATAATAATAATAATAATAATAATAATAATCAATTCACCATAATAGCATGGAAGTTGGATAGCTGGATTATATTTATCTGTGTATTTACAAAAGGCAGTAAAAGTTGTTGAGAATTTAACTTGCTTAAGAGAGTATCAAAAGTCCTTGATTTACAAAGGATTATGGATGCCTCTAAAAGTTGGAAAAAAAAAAAAACAGAAAAAAAAAAATTATTAAACCTACTACATGCAAGAGTTATTTCTCTGTAAAAGAGTAAAACCAAAGAGTAAAACCAAATCTTCAATAGTTGGGTGCAATGAAATACAACCGGAAAGGAAAAAGTAAAACAGACAAAAAAAGATCACATTATGATGATCATAACTCTAACCTTCAGCTACTCTATATTCTTCTGAGTTAGTTATCATAAATGGATGTTGTTGCTCACTCCAATGAAAGGAGTACGACCAGTTTCAACTCGATCTGAAACTATGTAGTGCTGATCTGCGGGATATTTCCAACCCTTTCAGCTTCACCACTAACTCAACATGACCGTTAAAAGAGTGTGCATCCCCCAGAGCCTAATTTGACATTAAGATAAAAGCAATATAAGATGAGAGTTTGAGAATGCATTTTGCAGAGTTTATATAGAATAACATTGCCTGGCCATCTCAGATCTCATCTTTTCTTGCTCCGCGACTTAGAACGATCCGCCATTCTCGAAAAAACCTTAGAGAGAGAATATGATTCTTGAATCTCTCTCGGGTAGTGCGCAGGGGAATGCAAGCCCAAGTTTGATTGTATCGATCATTTTATAGGCGGTAGAGATCTTTTTTATTTGCAATCAATTAGTAATTTTTATTTCTTTTTTTCAATTTTCCTTTTCTAGTATTAATAAGTAATTTCTGTTTTCATCTTTATTTTCAGTTAATTAGGGAGGTTTTTATTTTATTTTCAGCATTAGTAATTACACATCTTTATGTAATTAAAAAAACTTACACATCTTTACATATAACAAAACTATTTCCATCTTTAATTACGTTATTTACTTACCATAGAATATTTCCTTATAAATTACATTATTTTCTTACCAATTATGTTTTATTCTTTTACCATAATTAATTAATAGATTTTAATTATTTTCCATTGAATATTTACTTACCAAATAAGATTTATTAATTATTTGATCAATAAAATATTTAATTAATTGAGTAGAAAAGTTTGGGCGGGAAAATGGTGTAGGAGGATTTTACTTATATATATATATATATATATATATATATATATATATATATATATATATATATATAATCCTCCTAACAAATTTTTCCCCCAAAACTTAGGGGCATTTATGTAATCTAATAATAATAATAATAATAATAATAATAATAATAATAATAATAATAATAATAATAATAATAATAATAATAATAATAATAATACCTTAAATAAATAAATTATTATATTTTCCTTTTAAATTAGTATTTTCTACTTATAAATACAAATTTATAATTCCTAGCCTTCCCATCATTTCCTTCTCCACATCGGTAAGGCTTCTCCACCCCGTATCTTCTCCATCATTTCATTGACTTTTGTTAATCATCCTGTGATCTTCCACAGTTGAGGCTGATACGTGATTTGCACAGGTGAGGTTTTCATTATCTTAGTTTTTTTTTTCTTTTTGGATTTTGTTTTGTTTTGTTTTGGATTTTCCGATATTTAAATAAGAAAAGTGGTTTGTAATAAAAATGTTGATATATTCTTTTTTTTTTTGTTTATTTTTTGTGGAGAAGATACAGATCTAGAAAGATTGATCGGGAAGCAATAGAGTTCGTTGCTCATCAAGTGGATAATGTTTGGATAGGGACGGATGAAGTGTAGGCAATAAAAATCTATATCTATATATAGTTAAAAGTAAATCCTTCTAGCCAAATTTTTCCTCCAAAACTTAGAGAAATTTCTATAATGTCATCCATTATATATATATATATATATATATATATATATATATATATATATATATATATATATATATATATATATATATAGAGGAAGAAGTACGTACTAGCACTTTTGTAATTTTACCAATATACAAATAAATATGTAGGCAATGAGATATTGAGATTGAAGTACGTACTAGGAATTGAATAAAAAAATATTTTAATTTAGGTAATGGAGAGATTTTTAATTTTTTTTTACCAGAAGTTTATATATTTTTCCTTATACAAATTTATAATTGTAAATTTATATTAATAATTTATTATTGTAAATTTATATTAATACAATGTAATAAAGTCAATAGCATTAATTCTTATAATTCAAACTAATTACTCAATTCAATAACATCAATTTAAACATATACGATGTACAAATTTATACTAAGGTAATTAATAAATTAAAACACAATATTACCGTGTACACAATATATTATATTAAATATTATAATTACAGTGTACAGTTTATTATTTTTTAAGCCGTGTAATTCAAACTAATTACTCAATTGCATAAAATCAACTATAACGGGTTACCATACATGTTACGTGTTCGTTTTTAGTAATTAATTAAATCAATTGAATCAAATTTATTTTAACATATACCATGTAATGATTTTTACTAAGGTATATAATTGAATCAAACAGAATATTACCCCTTAGTTCAGATTAAGGTCATTTATTAATTAACTAGTTTTTGACGCGCATTGCGCGATTGAGATAATGCCCAATGTTTTTTTTTTTTTTTTAAATAAGTACTTTAAAGTATATTAAGGCAAGATTATATTGAAATTATTCATGCATAGATAATTGAAGGTTGAATTTGCGTATTTAAATAGGTAATTCTTCTCCCAAAGGTTGAGTCCCCTACCCCAAGGGCCCCCCACACTCTGACCCGACAGAGCATTGTAGGAAGTTGTAAATCACGGTGACTCAATGGTTCAGCAGACAGGACCAAATGCCGGTGCGAACAAGGAATCTGCCCACTTTGGACATAATTCCCGCACTGCCGCCGCCGAGGTTCAAACCTTGGTTTCTTCTCCCAAATACTGCCCACTAAACCATTGAGCTAAGCCCGTGCGTGTTAAATACGTAATTCTAAGTTTACAAATGCAAGATAATATAGTCAAGATTGATTATAATTGTCAATAAAATAATTGTATAGGTATGGTTGAAACCAAATACGGGACATAAGGGAGAACAAATAAAAATTAGGGCATAAAATATTAAATATATACTAATATTGTTTGATGAGATTTCGACATTAGGATTTGTGGTTAAGTTCTATTAAGACTTTAATATTAGAATTAGATTAATGGTGTAATTATAATTCTATATTAGACGTTAATATTATAATTAGACTAACGGTGAATTAACGGTATTTAACCAAAAAGTTAAATGGATAATCATATAATTAAGGATAAATTAGAAAAATTTTTTTAAAAAAATTAAAACCTGAACAATTTGAACCATTCATTTGATTTAATAATTTGACTGTCTTTTTTCTACCCAATGTTAATAATTAAATAAATTCGTTGGTCAAATCCGCTAATATAATCCGCGCGCTAACTGCTAATTGTCAAACAAGGACATTGCAAGGTAGTTCTCACTTCAATTTGTTGTGTGATTTGAATACTCTCTTTGTCACAAAATCTCTCAAGTAGTTAATATGGTTGGCTTTATTAATTATATATTTTTTTAAATTTTTTCATGGTATTAATAAAATACTTGGTAAATAAATATATAGCATTATTTTGTATTATAACTTTGATATTTAATTAGAAAAATAGTGCACAAAAAAAGATAATAGACAATGTAGTGAATATAATCAATTGATGAATTTGAATATAAAAATTTTTACATTTGAGAAAAATAAAGACAATATAACTAATGAAAATATTTCTCTTAATTAATTTATTGATAATGAATAATTTTTTTTTCACTGAATTAAGACATTGTAAGGACAATGTAGCGAATATAATCAATTAATAAATTTGAATATAAAGAATTTTTATATTGTAAAAAAATAAAGACAATATAACTAATACAATTATTTCTCTTATTTAATTTATTGATAATGAATAATTTTTTTTTGAATAAAGGCATTGTGGACACATAATTCTAAATTAAATAAATGCATATCTATAATTTTTTGTTGTAGCTACTAAATTATTATTTATATAATTTAATAAGAGTAAAATAGAGTACTAATTATGCCAACTTTGATTGGGATGAGGTTCGAACCTAAGACCTTTTTTTTTTAATTGAAATCAATGAGTAAGTTAACGGTGAACTAACGGCAATTCTTAAAATTTTAACGGAATTAGTAACGGCGTGTGGGTATTTTAGGAAATTTTAGTGTAAAATTTAAATCTTATCAATCTTTTAATCAATCTGAGCCATTCATTTAATTAAAATCAGTGACCGCCATTTTTTCTACCCATTATAGGCCTAACTCTCTTGGGCTCTTATTAGTATACTAGTTTTGACACGCGCTTTGCGCGATTAGACCAATGCCCAATGTGTATTTATAAATTAGTAGTCCGTATTTCTTAATTGGTTAAAGTATTCATATAATATAATAATGAGAGAGAGAGAGAGAGAAAATGCGAAATTAATAAAAGATATTGAAATAGTGTTGGTGATTATATATTGTAATAAAAAAAAAAATTCGAAATAGCTAAATTAGAATAAAAGTAAAAACAAATAAACCACTAACTAAAGAAGAAATTCGAAATAGCTAAATTAGAATAAAAGTAAAAACAAATAAACCACTAACTAAAGCTGACTATCAATAATGAAAAGAGTAGTAATTTGAACACAGTGAATTAATTTTTCTTAGTGCGTGTTTGGTGAGGCTCGGAATTGTCTTCTTCTTCTCCATCTTTAGTGAAGTTGAGTTTCCTTTTTGCTGGTTGTGTGTTTATTGCATCTTGTTTACTTGTGGTAGCGAATGACAATGAATCGTGCAATGATGTTATGGTATATGATACCATGCTTTTGCCTTGTTGTGTGTAGGATTGAGACCTCAATTGTATTATATATTCTTCATATTGTAAGCGGTTATTGATATGTTGAAATCGTAGTTGTTGACCCTACAAGATGTTTATGTAGTTAGGCATTATGTTAGTTTACTGTAAAACATGAGTGGTTGTGGGTGGTAAAGGAGAAATACCTGTTGTTCCAATTGCATAATTTGTTTGCTCGTTGAGAGTAATAGTTGTTCAGCACATTTTCCAAACACAGATGCAACAAGGCCTCCACTTCCATCAGTAATTTCCACATCTAGTTTACACCTATTATGTGTTTTGAGAGTAGCAGTGTTGTGTTATGTTTGTGTAATGATTAAATTGATATTGACCTCCTTCTAACAAAAAAATAAATAAAATGACTTTAAAAATTGTTACTAACCTTGGTGTTCCCACTGCATTCATTTCACCACAATGCATGCAATGAAATAGTTTGTCACTTTCTGCGTAAACCTTTTTCATACAATGACTACATCCAATGTACCATGTGTTTTTTATTTGAGGCTTAAAGCTAATTTTCCCTTTTATCCAAACAGGTTTACTCTGCAAGTTATCATGAGTAAAAGGATTAATGTTAATGTTAAAGTATAAAATATTGAATTAGTGTGTAAAACAATTTTTTATATATACCGGATCAATTGATTGAGGGACACTATCAATTGTAGAAATTTCTGCAGTTTCTGGATTTGCAAGTTTTATGGCAGCGTCATTGTAGTCTCGACAGCGTTTTAATGCATCAAGTGTAGCACGATGCTTTGTTCCCCTAAAAATACATTAAAAAGAAATCAATTTTTAAAATAATGTGTGTGCGTGGGTGTGTATATTGAATAACTTATCAACAAATTTAAAACATACCATTCTTTTAAACGTTCTGCTCGTGGTACTTCTGGGTGTAAAAGTATTGTTGAATTTGTTCTTGTAGTCAAAGAAATTCCTGGTGTAGTGGATAGTATATTAGATATGGTAATGTATAAATGGTGCAGTTTTGAAACGATGTTAGTAAATAATTTGATTTTACCTTTGAAGTGAACAACTGCAATATATTCTGCTGATATTACCGGGTAGTTTCCAGCTTCAATTTCTCGAGTGATTAGGGAACCCTCTTTGTCAGCGTATTCTCCCCACATGGTTAGTATAATTGGCTTCAAACTGCATTTTTTAAATAAAGAAAAAATGGTACTACGTAAAAAAATTGATGTGGTTGATAGCAATTTATTTAATATAAGAATAGTAATAGAATAGGGTTCTTACTTTTCATCAACAACAATAAAGTCATTGATCTTTTGTTTTCCATTCATTGTTGAGATGAATTCTTTTGCAAGTTTGTCAATGACAATACCTACAATTGCTATCATAGGGGATGACAAGAAATAATTACTCAAATATGATTACAATAGATATTGGTAAGATGTTGTAATAAAGATTAACTTACAAATTTCTTGTGACTTTTTCATGCATTCATAGAATTCTAAGAATTGTGTGTATGATTGTTCAATGGTAGGCAATGGTGTGTCAGCATTATCACTTGTTTGGATACTGGTCTGAGCATTTAAAATCCATGTATACTTGTATTTATTGTCAAGTACTCTATAGTTCGTCTGGGCAGGTTTGACAATGGCACTTGAAATTATGTACCACTTGTTGGTCTTTAAAGTGCTATCATAGATTTCAATGTCATTATCAAACACTATTGATTGAACCCGAGTTCCCTGTATATAGATATAGCATTTACAATGATGTTGGTGGTGAATGAAAGCACCTTGATTTGAGTGTAAATAAAGAACTATACATGTCTAATAATCTAATAAATATAAATTTAAAAATGACAAATAATAATAATAATAATAATAATAATAATAATAATAATAATAATAATAATAATAATAATATTATTATTATTATTATTATTATTATTATTATTATTATTATTATTATTATTATTATTATTTAAAAAATAATTATAATCACGCAGCATATAAAAAGCTATCACTAAATTCATGCCCATAATAATATTATGTACTCATAACAATACACGAAAAAACGTTTTAATAATAATAATAATAATAATAATAATAATAATAATAATAATAATAATAATAATAATATTAATAATGATGATGATGATGATGATGATGAAAGGGGGAAATTTTGTATTATGTACTTACAGTTTCATCCTCGAGGATGATGAGCATATACTTTTTGTCAGGCGATTTAATAGCATTCCTTGGTTCGTTTTTCTTAATGACACGAACTTTACAACTCCATCTCACAGTTTGTGTGTCAATATCAATTAAGTTTAGTGCATTTGCCATGACTAATATTTTTCTGTCATTGAAAATATGTGCATAAAGATTGTAAAGAAATAATATAATGAGAAGCATAACATAAATTGAAAAATCATAGATTAGGGATTGGAATTGAAATAATATAAGGAGTAAGAAGAAGTATTATATTATTTATATATATTAATTAATTATGTAGTAGTGGTAGGAGGGTTATTATATTCATACCTGTAGAATGTCTCTTGAATAGTGTGTTGCAAAAGAAGTTAGGTATTGTGTCTGTTGAATACCAGGGGTTAATATAGTGTTGTTCTGGGTAGATTAAGGGTGTAGTTAGGAATCTATAAAGATTTGTATTATAGAAATCCTATTAATTAAGTCATCAATATTCTAATTTGAAATTAGGAATCTATTAAGATTTGTATTCTATATTCTAATTTAAAATTACAATTGTATATAGATGGTAATAATGACATGACAAGTATATATATATTACATATAGTGATGATGACATATTTAGTAAATAAGAAAGTATCGTAATATGGAAATAAATTACTATTTGTGTATTGATTAATTTTTTTACGAAATAATTATGTAAAATATAGAAGATTAGTTAAGAAAATTATGATTTAACAAGGAGCCACTGCAATCATTGTGTTTTCATTTGATACGTGCAGCCTAACTAATATTTTAATATAAGTATTTAAAGTATATCAATGCAAGATTATATTAGAGTTGATGATGCATAGATACCGATACCATATTTGATCGATATTGAACTTGGCCTAGCAAACTACGCGTAAAAATAAATCTTATTGGTGATTGAATCGGGTTCGTGTGTGTTTAGTATTTTTTATATAAATCATATAATTTTTTAGTTTATTTATTAATAAACACTTAATCTTTTTGACAATGTAAAACTTTCCTACAAATATTATGTGCACAAAGAACATACCCATTTTTTGCGATTAACATTTAGCAGACAAAATGAAGCCACTTTTAGGGAATACAACTCCTAGCAATTAGAGAAAGAAAAGGAAAGGAAACAAAAAGTATAGATTTTTTTTTTTTTGTGAACTAATCAGTGTGTCCAGTAGAGAGAGGGAGTATTACTCCAAATAGACAAAGAAACGGAAAGAAAACAAAAATTATAGACTTTGTTTTTATGAACTAATCAGTGTGTCCAGTAGAGAGAGGGAGTATTTACTCCAAACACAGATATGAGTCATAAGAAATCTACAAATATGTATGATATCCTCATATCTACCCATTGAAAATACAATATTCTCTCAAAACATTATAGTAAAAGTGAATATTTAACATGTTTTTCTGCACAAGCATAAACCAGCCAGATATTTCAATTTCTAGCACCTCCTTTGAAAGTTCAACTTCTAAATGCAAAGTGTGAATAAACAGGCAAAACGAAGAGGGAACATAATCAGCACTACAGCCACAATGGGTAATTGATCATGCCCAATGCGAAGAAAGCATGCCGTTTACGGACCAAGATGTAGGCATTAGATAGTAAAACCAGATCCACCATTTCGGAATGTGCTGCAAGATTACAAACATATATAAAATGATCATTTTGAATAATGTCAGCGAGTTTCTTATAATGTAATGTAAACTGGAGATCTTGAGGTGTGTTATTGAAAGTGAAACTTACCGGTTCGGGGACGTCAACACCAAATACACAGCACTTTTCTTCTCAGATTCAACCTACCTTCCATCCTTTTACAATTCTGAAATAGAAAGTGGATGAGTGATCTAAGCAAAACGATACAATATCATTTCAATTAAAATTAGAAAATTAAAAAAAGATTCCAGACTCCAGAACCCTTTATCAAGTGCCTTGTTTACTTTCAAATAGGAGCCAGATGCAATTTACTCCAGTATGAAAGGAAGAAATTCAATGAATATAGCATGCATGATTTTTTTTATGCAGTTTCACTTATAGCATCATTTTTAATTTTATCAACACATTCTTGAAAGAAATGAGAGTTTGATGTTATTTTCATGTAAACAATCCATTAGCAACAGTGCCGCCATATAGGGAGGATAAACAAATATAAATAATTAGAGCATAAAGGGAAAAGGTGAAGAAGGTTACTTGATAATCTAGCTGCTGAGAGTTGTGTTTTTGTATCTCTTGGAGAGAACAACCGTAATCATTAATTCCTTATATTGATACCGGATCAATGTCAATATAAGTTGGACAAATCGAGCATCTGAATGCGTAGAGTAGTAATCTGTATAAACACAATATATTAAAATCAAAATGTATTCACTAAAGCATGTTGTGTTTTATAAAATGAATATATTTTGCACAGAAAGTGTAAAAAATAACCTAGTTAGATCAAAGAAGTGATCCACAAGCTTCATTTAGAATTTCTTGATAGACAATGTTATCAGTTAGGTCTGTAGTAGTTGTATCGCGATGAGTATTGCAAAGTAACATTTTTACACAATCTGCTTTCTTTGCTCTTGATAATGCAACATATAATTGTCCATGTGAAAACACCGGTTGTCTCAAGTAAATCCCCACAAAATCAAATGTTTGTCCTTGTGCCTTATTTATTGTCATGGCAAAACAAACTTTGATTGGAAATTGGTGACGTTTAAATGGAAGTGAACAATTTTCATCCTTTGAAGCTTCAAGTGGTATTCTTGGTATGAAAACATGTTTGCCAATGTGTTCCCCAGAAGCAATGAAACAACGTATAACATGATCACGGAAGTCATCACATATTAACCGGGTACCATTACAAAGTCCTTCTGCAGGATTAATATTCCTCAGCAAAATTACTGGGCAATTCTTTTTTACAATCAACTTGTGAGGAGGTAACCCAGGTACTGAGATAGTATGCAAGTAGTCAACAAAATCATTTTTGCAAGTGGAATCAAGCAACTCATCATAACTTATATAGCATTTTTCGTCTCCAGGAAATCTATCAATTAAGGAGTTGTTAATTTCATCCACGAATTCATTCTTCGGTGTCAATATACCTCGCTTCATGAGTGGATAAGGATCGCGGGTGAAGTTCATTAAATCTGGGAAAACTATGTCAATTAATGAATTGAAAGACTGTAATTCATCTGTAGATGGGACAAGGAATGTTCTTGGAATTTGAATTGAATTGCCAACCACATATTTTTCTGTTCCATTTCCCACGCGCATTAAGTATTCACAAAAAGATGGGTCTTCTTTAGCCCGCATGTTTTCTGTCAAAACCAATCTCTCAACGATTGGCCAAATTTTATGTGATTTAACCAAACTTGCTTCTATAAAATCCTGTCTGCTTCCAGATCGTATCACAGGTAATGTTTGGCGAAAATCACCTCCAAATACTACAACTTTGCCACCAAAGATTGTGTCATTGTTTGTTATATCTCGCAAAGTTGTTTCGACATTTTCTATGTCTCTACGGTTGGCCATAGTTGCTTCATCCCATAAAATCAACTTGCACTCTCTAAGCAGTGAGGCTTCGGCACTTTGTTTCCCAATATTGCATACAAATTTATCATCTCCATTGATGGGTATTTTAAATCGAGAATGAGCTGTTCGGCCTCCGGGTAAAAGAGATGCAGCTACCCCAGATGTTGCAGTTGCAAGTGCAATGTCTTGGTTTGCTCTCACACGGGCTAAAAGGCACCTGTATAGAAATGTTTTACCAGTTCCCCCTGGGCCATCAACAAAGAAAACCCCTCCTGAATTTGAGTAAACTCTAGAAATTATGGTGTCAAATGCAACTCGCTGAGATTGGTTCAACTTTGTTATAGCAAGTAAATCTGTTTCATTAGGAAGCAAATTTTTTTCTGCTTGTATTTCTTTGTGTATTCTTTGTTCTTTTGAAAGACCAATATGATAAGAAACTAAACCAAAGTCATTTATATTCTTCCCCAAAGATTCAAGTATATCACTTATCATATGGAGACACTTATTTTCAGCATCAATTATACTGTTACATGATGAAATTATGTCTTCACAAAGATGTTCCTTGTATTTCGTCCACAAATCATGGGGAGAAGGAATGTTACAAAAAATCAATAGGGTTGCAAATAACCTACGAAAACTTGTAGGCATTTGCCAACACATGGCTTCCTGCAAACATTGATCTATCACTTGATCACTCTGCAACAACCCTAATTTCTCTGCAACTTCTCTGAAAGTTGTAGCCATAGATTCACCAACCATTTTTAAGTGTTCATATGATTTTGGAGCCCTGACATTCATCAACAACATTCTCAAATAATATCTCTCTCCTTCAATGGGATTAACACTCACCAATCGACCTATAACCTCTCTTTTTTTCCTTGGATACCATTGTTTATCTCTGTTTACCCAAACAAAGAACTCGGGGAATTCTAGATACAATAAATTCAATCTCTTAGCTGTCTCATCAGTCATATTCATGAAGAAAAATTCTGTTAACATTGTCTTTGAGCTAAATTGATTATCCACAAGGTGAATCAAATCTTGTTTGTTGTCAAATCTCATGTACTGGTAGTTCTCCAAATGGACCTGCAAGTCCACTACTGCTGGTTTTATTTCGGCAAGGCTAAAACCATATATTCTCCATGCAGCTTCAGGAGGTGACACCCATCTTGCATTCTGGTATTCTTTTATTTCATCAAAATCAATGACTTCTTCTCCGGAAGACACACTAAATGCAACTCTATCATGGCCTTTATATATATACTTGTATATGTACTTGACACACTTAATACTTGCACAGACTTCAACATTGATATGACAATCGAATTTAGATAACAAATATGCGTTATATGGTATGACCCATTTGTTGTCCAGTTGGTGGCCACGGACGGTGACAAAGCGTGAATTGTTCCGTCGCTTATAAGTAGGATATGAGTTCTCTCCCATAACTGTTGCATCCGAATAGCCCTTCGGATATTTGTTTTTACAAAGTCTAGCACCAGACTTTTCAACCATACATGGATTTTCAGGATTCATTGAACCACATGGTCCATGTATCATGTGTTTTGCTACTAAAGAGTGCAAAGAAGAGTTGTGAACAGCGTCAGGTATTTCTGCACTAACAATTGCATCAACATCCAAACCTGATTTGAATTTGTGATTTTTTCCCAAAATTAATAAGAAATGAGCATGTGGTAGCCCACGCTTTTGGAATTCAATCACATAAGTGTATGCTATCACCACTCCAAAAACTTTTTTCTTTATGAGGTCAACTTTCAATTCTTCCAACTTAGCACGAAACACTCTGGAAATCAAATCAGGCCTATTTTGTGGTTCATCGCAAAACTCAAGCGAATTTTTTATCTCAGGCCAATTTGGGTTACAAGTTATCGTTAAAAAAATATCTGGCTTACCATATCGCTGCACTAATGTCATAGCATTCATGTATCTTTTACGCATATCCCGTGGGCCTCCAATGAAAGAAACGGGTAAAATTACTCTACGTCCGACATTAGATGCATTTGTTTCCCCGCATGCAATGCTATCCACTAATCCTTGCATGCTTTCTGTTCGAACATCACGTTGTTGTGCTCGAAAATAATCCAATCTTTGTGTCTCAATTTTGATATACGTGTCAACAATGAATTGTTGAAAGAGTCTTCCTGAATGTAGGAGCATAGACTTATCATTTGGTCGAATTTGGAAACGATAAGCATAATATTCTCTGCATGAAACTGTGTTCCGCTTGCTCTTACCAACAATATTTTCATTTTCTTTGTCTAACAAAGCTTCTATTGAAGGAAATTGTCCAGGTTGAAGAATACCTTGACAAATGGAGGTACGATTTGTATAAGATTTAGGTACCTTAGATATACCCTCATGCCAACCACTTTCTCCGTGGGGAAACAATAGGGGATATTGCAAGGGATCATAACAACCATAATAGTATTTGACAGAATGTGAACGGCCAGTTTTTGCAAAAACTTTAATATCACGACTGTTTTCTCCGCTACCATCTTGTTCTTCTACCCAAATTGCTGCAACTTGAGAAGAGGTAGGCATGTTGTAAACACGTTGATCTAAAGTTGCATTTGAGCGAATTACAATATTACAATCTTCAATACTTGATATATCCTTAAGATTTCTGAAGAACTGTGAATACGGATTGCTTCCAAGTACATCAATCAGGTTTTCAACAACACTTGCCTCCATTCGTTCTGCCCCTTTGATTCTATTTTCAACCTCATGCTCAGTATCAAAGAAATATAGTTGCAAGTTTTTAGGAGGTTGATTTTCAGGCACCAGATCATTGATAAAATGATACATTTGTCCTTGGACCTTAAATGTATAGATTCCTTTATTCCTCCTGGATAAATTTTTGTCATAGTTGTGGATTCCTAGTGAAGTAAATGCAAATGTGTTGTTGTATGTTCGAACACATGCTTGAAAATGACGTGACACTTCATCTTTCTCACAGAAGTATTGCTTCAATAGCGGAGGCATTTCATTAGACACCAAAACCACTTGGCCAGAGGAGCAACAAAATCCAGGTGGTTCATATTGGAATCGCTTTGCTTTACAATAGGTACAAGGAGAACAATCTTTTAGCATAAAAGACTGGTCGAGATTAGAAGAAAGAGTATTGTTGTGTTGCAAACATTCTTGAGAAGTTTGTCTGAGTACTACTTCTGAAGGACCTTTATTTATTTTGAAATATCATATAATATTTTTTTAAATTGCATAAGCAAGTGATGTATAATCAATCAAATGCATGCATGTAAACAAGTTAGTTCTAATGTCCATAAGTTAAAGAATTGAATTCAAAGTAAGACAAATATGACAATTAAAAAGCATACCAGCATTGACGTCGTGAGTTAGTGTAGATTTAGCTGCATTACTTTTGACGCGACGCTTTTCGTTAATATCATCTAGCATTTTTCGTTTCTTAGCAGGATCCATTGTTGCGTAAGCATTTCGGCGTCTCAAGTTCCTCTCTGCCCGTCGACTCTCATTACAAGCATACTGCTCGCTTTGTTTACTATTCCGAGCATCACGACTGGATTCAGGGACTTCAGAATCGCGAGACTTCATAACATAGCTATTTAAAAACAATAAATTCAAACTCATGAATGAGAATACAATTGTGAATTCTGATCTTTCTACATTAAATTAAAGGTAAATCTGAAGATATGTTTTTAATTTGGACCAATTAGTTATATCTATGATTTATTTCTTGTAGTGTAGTCTATATACATTGAAAAAAGTAGTATCTTGTTCAAAGATATTCACATCACAAGTAGATAGGGCAATTGTTACATGTATACTACACATCTACTACAGTTCACCTAATCTCGCAATCGAAGGATGATTGTTAAGGCAATAAGGTGAAGACAAATAAAGGCTAAGATATCCTGGAATAATTGCATACCTCAGGTTTATGGCTTTGCAATTCTGTCTTGTACCGGAACTCTGGGTGCCGACTAACAGGATAGTCTGTCCTCTCTAACTCTCTTCGACTTCCAACAAGCTTTAAAATTTATTTGTCGGAGAAACAAAACAGTGAGTAAATCACTCAATTTAAAATAAATAAATAAATAATCTGCTCAAATTTTTCAAACGTACCTCCTTTGTATCACTCCTTTCAAATAATACCACTCTAACCCCACGGTCACCAGTAGCAAGATGGTCGCCAGTTTTATCAAACTCAATGTCAGAAATTATATCAACTGCAAATCAATAAAGAGCAAACATATTAGGATTTCCCATTAAATGAAGTTGCTAGAAATATAAATGCAGGAACATAATTAATGATTTTAAAACATTATCAGAAACAGAACAATATTATAATACTGTAGATTATGTGAGATTAAAAAATTAGATTTGATGATATGTTGAAATAGCCTACATTGATGAAATTCAATTGTTTTAAAACAGAATGTAATTTCCATAATCTGAGTAGTGTTTATCCCCAACTTAAGTTACATAAAATTGTAAAACCTCAACTTTGGAACTTTTTGAGAAAGGAGTTTGCCTATTATCACAACATACAATGCAAACTACTGTTATGGCTTTACATGCACTTCTAGTTTTCCTTTCTGCTCATCATACCATGTTAAACTCATTGTTGACACAAGCCACAATATAACACATATAAAACTGAGGAAAGCATCGATGTTAAGGCCAGCTAAAACAAACAGAATTAGAGAATATATGATTAGGAGCATCCGAGGGTGGTTAGAATTCAAGTAATAAAAGCACCACATATTGGAAGAAAATCATGTTATCGTCTAAAGAAGAGAGGCAAAACACACTTAAGAATTAGCACAAGAAGAAACCAGAAACTACACAGTATTAACCTTTATCCTTGAGCACAATGTAGAGCAACATTCCAACAATCTATAAGTAGGGGATGATCAATGGAGCATGTTAAATTTAAAAAAGTGAACTACCACAACACTAATTTATTAATCTGAAGCATAAATAATTTAGTTAATGTTAACTCAAGTGTTATACAGCTATTATTGAATCTTAGTGTTAATGTTGACACAGTGATCACAATTCACAATGTTTCGAAACTAAGATTGTGAACAATAACCTTAGAATTAGTACTACATATTCCATGAACCTAGGGTGAATTAGTTATATGACCCTTCATAAATAATTCACAAGTCAGATGGGCATTTACTTCACTGATGAACATTACAATCATAAACATTGATCATAGTTATGATGTACGTTAATCACAATTCACAATCATAAACAAATGCAATTACTTTTTGTTCCGACACTGGAAGGACCAGAGAATCTGCTACCGGAGATCGCTTCTTCGAACTGCCTAATTTCTTTGATGTGCTTCTCTGGATTGTCCGCCGCAGATCGTTTCTTCGAACTGCTACCGGATGCCTAATTTCTGTGCTTCTCTGGATTGTCCTCAATCCCCTCTCGTAATTGCCTTTCCTTCGAACTGCTACCAGATGCCTAATTTCTGTGCTTCTCTGCCTCAATCCCCTCTCGTAATTGCCTCTCAATTTGACATTAATTTCAAGTTTGCCACCGCATAGCTTTGTTGACGGAATCGTTAAGTCGGACGGTGTTTTTTTGTTTAAATTATAACAACTTAAAGGTTATATTAGGATTTGCAATTGGCATTAAGGTTAGATTAGGTTCTGCGGTTAGCAATGTACTACTACAAAAGCTCAAAGTACAACTTGGAGGAGCATCTGGTGTACCGACATTTTTTTTATTCCAGTTAAGGGTTTAACAAGATTCGCTCTTATTAAAATTGTAGATGTAGATATAGTAGATAGATAGTAGATATCAATATAATATATAGATTATTAAATATATAGATTTTAATTACTTTATAATATATAGATTAAATAAAACAAAATATTATTGTGTGCAAATTTTTATTAACGTAATTAATTAACAATTAATAAATTACTTTATAATATATAGATTGTTAAATATGGTTAGATTTTTTGTAATATACTTATATTTTTACTAATTTAACTCTATATTGAGTTTATGCATGTGGTAAATGATCAAGGTGATTGGTAATTCTGATTTCTTCCCATTCTAAATTAATTAACCATATATAATTGTTATAATATATATATATATATATATATATATTATAATTATCACCATATATTATTAAATATGGTAATCAGTAATCACCGTGTACATATTATTATATTTTAATATTTCACTTTATATAGATTACCGTGTATTGAAAGAAAACATGTTAGGAATATATATTATACTCACAACCATATATTATTAAATATGGTAATCACCATTTACATATTATTAGATCTTAGTAATTTTAGTAATTAAAAATTTCAAATCCTACAAAGAATCATGAGTATCGTAATCGTTACCAAACAAAGAAACGAAATATATAAAAACATACAAAAACGAAATATATTAAAATATGATTATTATGATTATTATGATTATGATTCATTAGTTAACATACTAAAACATTTTCATTTGCTAACCATGTACAGACAATCGTGATTCAATTTAATAAAATATGTTTAAAATTTAATAAAATATGTTTAAAAACCATATTACCTAAATCTAGGAATTGAATAAAAAAATATTTTAATTTAGATAATATATATTCTAATTATAAGTATGTAGTTTCAGATAATTTAAAAGGACTCAATTGAATAAAAAATATTAAGATTATTGAATAATTAATTATACTAATAGACATTGTAGAAGAATATGGTAGAATATAGACTAATTAATTTTAAAAAATTGATATACGCTAATATTACACGGAATTTTTTTATCCAATTCATAAATGAGTCAATTTAATTAAAAACATTTTTAATACGATAATAGCTATTTTAATTATAAGTATGTAGCACCAGATAATTTTAAATGAGTCAGTTGAGTAAAAAATAATTACACTCTGAAATAATTAATTATGGTAATACAAAATGGAGAAGAATAATGCACAATATATACTATTTAATTATGGACATATTATTATGGTAATATTAAATGGAATTTTTGGAACCAATTCATTAATGAGTCAATTGAATAAAAAATATTTAAAATATGGTAATGAATATTCTAATTATAAGTATGTAATACTGGATAATTCTTAATGAGTCAAATGGTTTAAAAATATTTAGTCTATGGAATAATTAATTATGCTAATACATATGCTAATTATTACACAATTTTTATTTTAAACAAATTCACAAATGAGTCAACTGAATAAAAAAATATTTTTAATTTGGTAATATATATATATATATATATATATATATATATATATATATATATATATATATATTATTTTTCTAATGTGAAATAATGTTATTGACTTACCATGTTTGCTTCGATATGCTAAGCCATTTAAAATATAATAAAATTTATAATTGTAATACTTTCGTAATAATATTGAATAAATATTAACCATATGTTTAGATTTAATAATATAGTATATTATATATTAAAAGAATTATATATTAATCTAATATAGTGATCGTTAATACGGGTAAATCATATATAAGCATAATCTAATATAGAAAAATATTCATTATTACTCAGAGTAAATAAACTTATTGAAACTTTTTTTTTTTTTTGAATGTTACACTGGCCCTATTACATTGTAGTATCTGTTCATATACTTTCTCAACCTACTGAAACACAAAGAACCAATAACACCTCCATTGAGGCTTGAACTCATAACCTTCCAAATGGAAGTCCAACCCGGGTACCATTAGACCACATAGTCTTGGTAAACTTATTGAAACTTAATTATTTATAACTTCAACTTTAATCTAAATATATGGATTTAAATATATAGTTTTAATATCTGAAATTAATAAGGTTTTCTTAATGTGGATCTATATATTTTTAATAATTTTGATTTAATAATATTATACCTTAATTATAAAAATTATACCTAACAACTTTAGTATTACATGGCATACAATAATTACCATAAATAATATTTTATAATTGACAATTTGTATTAGGCAATAAAAATTAATAATTAATAATTATGAACATGGTGTTGTGAACATAATTATGAACATATAGTTATGTAATTATGAATATAGTGATTCAATAATTGTGAATATGAAGTTAAAAAATTATATATATATATATATATATTTATAATTATGAACATATAGTTGAGTAACTATGAACATAGAGTTCTGCAATTATGAATATAGAGTTCAATACTTATGAATATGAAGTTCAAAAATTATGAATATATAGCTTTATAATAATGAACATATAGTTCAGTAATAATAAACATAGAACTGTGTAAGGTGGACACGGTTCCACAGCATAACTATTCGATTGTCCCTGTTACATGTAAACTTTCTCAAACCTATTGAAACCCAACGTGTCAAAGGGCTCTTATTTAAGAAACCTTATGTTAATGGCTTCTTATTTTAGTTTTTTTTTTTTTTTTTTTTTTTTTTAATTTATTAGGGGGTTTGAGAAAGATTATTAACCCAAAATGTATATGAGTTGTTTTAGTTTTTAGTAGTTTGGAGAAAATTGCTAAGTTATTAAATAATATTTTTGGTGTTTTGATTAAATATAAAGTGTTA